TTTCTTCTCAGGTCCTCAGAGCTCCAGGAGATGGTCACGTTTCTTGTTTCTTCTGGAGCAAAATGCTTCTAGACACATCTGACTGGCGGCAATGTTTGTTTAGTAGAAGTGAGCCCCAGACTGGAATAAGGTTCATGCTAATACATAAATTTTAGATATTTGTCTAGATCTGAGAGCATACCTGTCTCCAGGGATTTCATGTTTTGGCTTAGTTCTATCTTAAGAAAATGAAAAGTTCTGAAATAAGGTATATTTCACAGCAGTAAGAATGTGAAATGAGTAGTGAAATCAAGTCCAAGTTTTGCTGTATATTTATTGTCAAAATGAGGTTTTAGACAGAGTCCCATTGTCTGCTGTATAACTTCTGCCAGCTAAGAATGGGATAATAACTGATAAATTTTTCACAGCTTTTCATTAGATGAAGAAATCAATAATTATTCCTTTTTCCTCAAAGCTGGGCATCTACCATCAAGAACAGAAGATCTGCACAAAACAAGACTTGTTCCTTGTGCTAAATGCTCAACTTCAGAGCTAGGCAAATAAGTTACACGTAAGTCAGTAGCACAGTAGCAGCTTTTTCTTACCTTCTGATTCCTGTGACTGTCATAGGATGAAGAAAACCATTAGCAGCTGCACAGCTCTGTGCAACGTCTTAATTGTGTGTGGAGCAGGACTGAGTATGCTGAATTAGTTCACGGAGAGTTGATAATAAATGAGGGAAGGGAGACTGACTCCCAACTGAATAGTTTATTGCTGTGGCCCATGTTTTTAATCCACAAGAATAGGAGATTGCTGGCTTTAGTTACACTTTCAGTAGATGAATTACACACTTGGTGGCAGCTCTCATTTGACATGTAATAATCAATACTTCTCTGCTTACTCACAAATGGGTGTAACAGCAAAGAGCTACCTAAAGGTCCAGAGAAGGAAAAAAGTCTGTCCTCTTAGACAAACCTTACATGCATTCAATGCTGAGAAGCTTTTGCTGTATAACGTTTTAGTGTGTTCTTATTTTTCTGCTGATTTCCTGGATGCCAATTGTTTGTGGACCTTTTAGCCCAATCATGGGGTTCTGCAGCTTTTCCAGCTCCGTGAGCTTGAGGCAAATCTCAATCTCTGGGGCAAGCAGGAGCAATTTTAGGAGAGCCTCATGGCACTGCCCATGTCCTAGGGACATCAGAGCACAGTGTCAGATGTGGCCTCCTTGGGAGGAGCACAGTGGTGAGCAGGAGTGAGGCGTCCATGAGTGCAAAACCCACCACTGTTATATCAGCTTGTTCCTCATCCTTAGTGGGTCATTACAAGTATATCTCGATTTGTGCCCATGCCTGTATGCTTACCTACACATGGCAGATGAATGTTTTTGTAAATGCACTTTTCACTCACTGTTGAATGCTTAGGTCCCTCCCAAGACTCTTGCAAACAGTATCAAATTCTTGGAAACCCATCATCTGACCTTTTTCTTTTGGAATATTTATTAGTGTACAACAGCTGCAGACTTACTCAAAGTGTTAGGAGTAGCAGCAGCAGTAGATAACTATTACTAGTGTGCAGTCTTACTGTTTTTAAAGCCCCAGAGTAATTAGCTGTTTTCATCCTTGTTTGATTGCAATTATACTCAAATATAAACATCACTTAATGAACTTTGCAACAAGTAAGGGCTGTACCACTATTATGTAGGGCAGTCCCATATCTACGTGGTTGATATTCTTCCTGCATTAGCATAATTAAATTTAAAGTAATATTGGCTAGAGAAGGAATTTGTTTTATTGCACCTCTCAAATGAATGTGTGTCAGGGAATATAACCGAGTGGAAAAAGTCTGTCTGGAAGTAGGCAGCGTGCTGTGGTGTATTGCGTTTCGCTGACATGAGAGGAATGTGGCAGTGAGGTCTACAGTTGCCTGCTGTAGGCACTAGCACTCAGGCTGAAAAGCAGCTTGGGATGTGCCTTTTGCTTCATTAAGCAAAAGGCTTTATGCCTGTGGCATGAAGTGCTATAAAACACAGTGGAAGTATTACAGTGTATGTTGTTAGACAGGATTGCCAACCTCAAACATCTAAAATCACAAGTCAGCTATTCCAACATAAAATCTATCTAGAAATTAGGGATATGTTTTTTTTAAACTATTTCCTTTTTACTTCTTAAGACTCATTTCTTTTTAAGTGAAAGCTGAGATCTTCACTGAAAGTTGAGATCCTCACCTGACTTCAGGGCTTTAAGAAAAACACCAAATTTCAAAAAACTTGCAAAAAGGTCATAAAAGTTCTTAACGGTGAGTCAGGCATCTTCTGTAGAAGCTGTGTGATTGTATAAGCTTTGTCATTGTAAATAGGATCTAAAAACCAGGGATGCAAAATGCAGGCTAAGCTCCTGGCACTTGCAGTTTAGTTGAGGTTTGCTTACCTTTAACAAATGCCACTAACTGTGCTGGCTCACGTTATTGAGCAGCCAGCCACAAAAAAAACCAACCCACCGCAGTCTAGAAAGCCTGTGTTCTGTGGGGGAGCCACGGTGAGGCAGTCTGTAGAGCTTACAGCCAGAGTTACCTACAGCCGATCCGTATCTGGTGTAACTTCTGCAGCCTCCCAGAGTTTGATCCTGTGCATGCTGGGGTCAGTAGTAGGACTCCTGTTTACAAGAGCAAGCATGTAATGCTGAGGGATGCATTAATTTCCTTGTGTTGTCTGCGTCTTCCAAAGAAATGTCAGTGCTGACCCCTTCCCTGAAAGGGAAGGTGTAAGGGATGGTGATGTCTGAGTTTTTCTCCCCCCTCTGCTGAAGTGGCAGGATGTAGCTTTAGGATTTTGAACCGCTGCACTGTTAGCAAGCAAGGAAGGTGGACCGTTCATGTCTCTAGCCACTTTCGCAGCGCTGGAAAAGCAATGCCAGGGCATAGGCCTGGGCATTTTTAGGATCCTTTGTTCATTGTTCCTGTTGACCTGCGCTTCAGTCCCAAAGAAGACAAACTACAAAGCCCACACTTTGGAAAGACAAAGATCCAAGAATTTGAATAATTGTATAGGATTTATAATGTAAAACTCAAGTTTGCTGGTTTGGAAAGCGGGTGCTCCTGTACATAGGTTAGGCAGTTGGTAGATGAGCTGTAAATCTCCTTCTGTTCTATCTGCCTGTCTTGAACTCAGCTGAGATCTTTTTCTGCTGTGCAACCCTAGAAGAAACAACAATTCTTGAAATAACATTTCAGCACCATAAACACTTCTCATTTGACGCTCTGACATTTAGCGTTGGCAGCTCAGCCTGCCTCTTCAGCATGCGTGTGGCTGTCACCATTCAGCCGGTCGTTTTTTCCTGCAGAGCTAGTTCAGATGAAAATCACTTTTCTTTCAAGAGTGCTCCAAGCGGCTGTTTAACACAGCTAAGCCTCAGGAACTCTGTCATGCAAATATAAACTTGCTCTTAGGTCAACATTTAAAGCATCCTGTTCATTGTTTTTAAGAATCCTATTAGTTATAGAGGAATGATAAATAATCCAGTGGTCTGGAACCACGTTGTTCTGGCTCAGGGAGCTATTACCACTACAGATGATGCTTTAGGTCTTGGAGGTGTCTGTGATGCTGTACTCTTGGATCTAGCAGTTCACCTAATGGTTCAATGTAATTGAAGCCCACTGAAGTCTGCAGGAGATATCATTCAGTTTGTAAGTACTTCCTCCACCTCCAGTGGAAACATTTATAGTCAGAAGCAATGCCTTGAAGTGTTTTACTACTGTCATATTAATAGGAAAAAAGATATACAGATATAAAGAGGCTGTGTGCATTAATTATTTATCTTGCAATCAAGAAAGTATAAAAATAATCCAGGGTGAAAATTGGGAAGGGTTGTAAAGCACTGGCTCTTTCAGTTTGAATAATGCAGACCCCACTCAAGCTTTCCACACAAAACATGAAGTCTAATCCTGCGACAGATTTAAATACAAAAAAACTGCCACAGATTTAAATACATTGTATTGTTACAGTATAACTATTGTCATTGTAATTAAACCACTTGAAAATATGAACCACCAACTTTTTCTCTCAGGGACTCAGCCACCTATGGGATTTTTGTGCCTTTGAAAATCTCCCCGGAGATCCAGCGTGCTTTGCTTCTCCTGATTGTTCTTGAAATAAAATTAGCTTTTAGTCCTTTAAAATCTGTTGGCTTTATCTGCAACTAAACACACATGTAGTAAGTGCTGTGGGTTCAAAACAAAAACAAGTTACTCCTCCTACGCTTGTAGTTTTGATGGGATTTGCAGTTTGGCAAAAGTCAATAATCTGACTCTTACTGTATTTGGGATCATGGTGGATTAAGGTAGATCCCTTCGGCCTGGATCAAGAACCTGCAAGGTATCTTGATCAAAGGAAAGGGTGAATAGAAAAGAGACTGGAAAAGGATGAGAGAAGGCACCTGAGAAGGCAGGTAGCCTGGTCCTGAGTCCTGGGGCAGAACTAATGACACCCGTGTTGCTCCTTCCAGACATTAGCCTAGTGCCCTCTTAAAAGTCTCCGCTAACAGAGGTTCTGTCACCTAATGAGGGTTTGGGCAGATTTTTTTCCGTGTTAGAAATGTTTTCCTGATGGCCGACTTGCTCCACCAGGTGCCTGTGACTTAGTCCTTAACTTGCTGCCTTTGTGGGGAGAGTAGGATGATGCCACGTTGAGGAAGTAAAAGGGGACGGGGAGGGAAGTGCTCAGGCGGTGGGAGGAAGGTCATGGAGATGAAGGGCCTGGATGGAGAGCCCTGGGAGGATTAGGAGCAGAAGAAAGTGTTACCCATCTAGGCTCCTTGTCATCGTGTTTCTCACTACTGATGGCTTGAACTTGCTGATATTTTTGAAATGCTTTAGACAGATATTGAATAAGAGCAAAGTTTGGAATCTAAGCACAACCACAGTGGTGGAGAAACCTCTGGGTCCCATCTGCAGAACTAAAAAATAGTAATACATTGACAGAAAGACGTGACCATAATGCCCTTTTCCTGTCTTTTCTACCCTCACAGATGAACAGGAGCCAGCAGTCAGCAGTGATTCAGATATTTCATTGATTATGGCAATGGAGGTTGGACTGTCCGATGTGGAGCTTTCCACTGATCAAGACTGCGAAGAGGTGAAGTCTTGAAAAACAAACAGGGATCCAACACTAAACTACAGGGGAGGGCCACAGGGAGGGACCGAGTCAGGTGATTCTAGGATTTGGACCAGTCATGCACATGCCTCCAGAGCACTGTCACTCCTGCACACTCCATTCTGAGATGGTCACGAAAAGCAATAGCAACAGTTGTGTCTGCCTGGATGCAGTTTCATCATCTACATACGTTCATTTTGTTCACATGGGAGATGAATGCTTCCAGTTTACCCACGAGCTTGAGAGCAGTCATGTAACTCTTCAGTGGCTCATAAACACGCAACTGAAATGACAGCTTGAGTGTTTTCTACACTTGTTCGATCGGGTTTTTGTTTCTTTTTTTTTTTAAAAGATGTATGTTTGTTATGTTTGTTTGTTTGTTTATAGTTTGTTATGGTTGGACATTCTGTTTTTGTTGACTGACCCCAGCTTTTTCAAGAGTTCAATCCAGAAATCTGAATTCCCGTTCACTGGTCACTTCATGATCTGACTCCGGGATTTATCATTGCCTTGTTGTTTCTGCATGAAGTACATATGGCTTCAGAAGGATAGTGCACCAGCACCCTGCATTTAATGTGAAGCCTGCTTTCATTAAGTGGAAATGGTATATTCTGAAGGCCTTTATTTGTAAGAGAGCTCTGAATTAACAGAGATTGCTGAGGTTTGGGTTAAAACTGCATTATGTTGGCTTTTACTTACAGCTCTGTTCTAGACAAGTATCGTACAGTGTGAAGGAGAGAAAGAAAAGCTTAAAGCTTCACTCCGTCCTTGTAGTCCTTTGCTATATTTTATGCTATTAGCAGTTGTCAGTACATTAATGGCCTTCCTTCAAGTCACAATTCAGTAGCTGGAAAAGAAGATCTAGTATAACATCATGTCTTTTCTTAATTCTACAGACCAAAATCTGACCGGTAGGCTAAAGGAGTGTCTTGAGAGGTTTCCAGAGGCTGCTTGTTAACAGCTGTGCATTACGCGGATGACAAGAATATTCTTAGAAAGGGTCTGGAGATGCTGATATCAGTGTCAGAAATTGCTAATGAAGCAAGCAGCTGGTTGAAATGTTTACTTCCTGATCCGTTTTGGCTTTTTTTCTGAGTGCATTTTGCTGCTTATGTTTTGACGGCAGTTTTTGCCTGCTTGTTATCAAACACAAGAGTTCAGGTGGTTCGTTGCCCTCCAGAGTCCCTGTCAACACTGTCCCAAGCATAATGGAATACTTGCAATTTGTATGTAGATATATATACCAAAATATTTTGGGTAGAGGGGAGGGGATTTGAAAATAAACAGAACTAACATAAATCAAAACACCTAAATAATAATGACCTGTGATTATTATTTCATTCATCCTGAGCTCTGCTTTCCAGGGAAAAGCTTATCGTTACCTGTTCAGTGTACGATTTCGTTTTTCAGTCAAAATACTCAACTGTGAAGAAGCGTTTTTAGCGTACTGTTATACAAGAGTAAATGGTTTCTGTTGACAGTCAGATGATTTGAATCACATTACTGCCTCCTGGGTAAGTCCATAGAATCAACTATTCATCTTACATCGAAATTTCATGGAGAGGTCAAACATCTTGACTTGAGGGTGTCATGGCAGCATCTCAAAATGCAACTATTAGGGTTCTTGCTGCATTTAATCTCCTTGTGGGTTTACTCGTTAGATGTGGAAACCAACTTCCAGCCAAAATTTGGTTTGTCAGATCTTATTCAGGAATAGAACTATCCCTAAAATTCTGGCTGCTTTGCTTCCTTAGTACAGGAAGAAGGAAAAATTATACTCCACGCTTTTCGGTCCAGTTAGAACTCAGTTCATTTTATAGCTTAATTTTTTTTATGTTCTTAGTCCCTAAATTGCAGGGTAACTTTGAGGCAAAGGAGCACAGGCTAATCATCCTTCAAAACCACGATCCGGAAATGTGCCGTTACCTTTTTATAAGCTATTTGAAAGGACATCTCTTTTTAATTAAAGAGATGCAGGCAGCTGGAAATCTGCTTGGTTTAAAAAGAAAGTTAGAGATTGTTCCAGAGGGTGCAGCTAGGTCAGTCTTGCCAATATTTGTGGTTCTGTAATCGTATCTTCCTCATTCTTTAATGTCTTCTCTGTTCCTTGCTGTTATGGGAAAGGCCCACAGCATCAGGGCAACCGATGCTGAAATTCACCCCTACACAAGAGAGTTTGCACAAGGTACCACATCAGCTCCACTTAAGCTCTGGAAATAATGCTGAAATGGGATTTAAGTGGTGCTTACACCAAACACTGGCCCTTCACACAGGAATGAAATTCGTCTCAAATGACTGCAGGGGAAAGAATGAAGCTGGTCATACACAGTCAGGTCTCCCTGTGGAAAGTACACACACTGGTACAGTTTCTTCTCTAGCGCTGGAGCCTGGGTGCTACATGTCACAGGAACACCACGAACATGATGTCCGAGTTGTCAGTGATCCTTTAACATCCACCCACTGCAGGCCAGCACACAGACAAAAAACTCCTGGCCAAACTGTTTGGGTTTCAGAGGAGCTGTCGCAAAGTCTTCGTTTTATTTCACAAACTTAACCAAGTTAACCTCAATGGATAGATTGACCAATAATCTGTTGCCATAGTGGAGTCACCCACAAGCAGAGCAAGCAAGGTCTGTGGAAAAGCAAGGCAGGAGGAAACTCCCAGCTGATACCGAACTGGGTCCTTTGCCTAGCAAAATCATTAAAGGGAGCTATGCTCAAAGGGGCATCACATAGGTGGTAACTAAGACCCTGCCCGTATTTCTAGGAGTTAGTGAAGGATTTTGGAGAGGGATCGCAGTGTGCATGCTCTTTTCGTAAGTATCCCATACCAGATGTGGTCCCTCGGGGTCCACGGGTGGCCACTGGCAGAGGTAGGGTGCTAGGCTGGGTGAGACGTTTTTACATATCACCATACTGTGGTCTTTCAGAAGAGGCATCCTAGCAAATCTGGGCCAGGAGTCTTTCTGCTTTTGTTTTCCCAGTTCTACCTGCAGTTTCGCTCAGGGAAGATGTTTTTCCGTCCCTGTCCTCAGGTGTTGTACAGCTCTGAGCACTGTTAAGCGATAACGAGTGCAAAGCCAGGTTACACATCACTGAAGCCAGAACTTAGGAAAGCACTTAAGTAAATGTTTTACTCCGTCCTTCAGAAAAGCACTTAAGACTGATTTTGGACTTGTACCAAAATCACATTATTTTCAACAGGTCTTTTATAAGCATGATTAAGCCCCTGTGTCAAATGGAAATGTTTTCTAAAGCAGGACCTGACTGACAGTATTCTTTGTATATATAACCTGTGAAATGCCTTGGGAATTTGAGGTGCTTCATAAATATTAAGACCCCCAGATGTATGTTTATAACTCGTATGAAAGCCTTAATTCTGCAGATCTGCGTGCCCATGCACATTTTTGCTTACATGAGTTTCTCCACTGAGATTCCTCACTGGGTAAAATTAAACCTCCCAATTCGCAGCTTTGGGCAAGATTAGTCCCATCCTGAGCATTGTGTGAGTCCTCGGTACTGCTGCCCGCTAAACTTGGGCTCTGGCATTAAATATGCGGGATTCAGATGTCGGGGACACAGCACTGCCTGTTCAGAAGGGAAAGCTGCCTTTAGCATGCAGCCAGGAAAAAACAAAATCCTCTGGTGCCCTCTGACGAACAAGTGCTCATGCACATAATTCTGCAGGCTCACGCCGTGCCTGCCCACCCGTGGCGCGGGCGGCTTTGCTGCGGCTGCCACCTCCCGCCGCCCGCGCCCTGTGCCAGCCCAGCGCGGCCGGGGCAGAGGGGCACCTCCTGCACAGGGCCAGTGGCCAGAGGACGGTGCAGTTCTCCGAGAAAGGCGCTCTTGTCATTAAGCTGATCTTGCGTCTCTCAGAGCTCTTCCTGTCCTGTCATCTGAGGCTCTTTTCTCTACTTTTCCGTGAGCAAGTAGTAGGTGGGAGAAGCGTTCGCTGTAGTGAGGCTCATCTTCACTCAGGCTGGGTTGCAGGATGAAACTTGGACAGACAGAGACTGCGCTCTGAGTATCCTTTGATTTTCACGGGTTTCACTGAACTGCCTTCCCAAAGGTCTGTTCAATAGGTAGAACACATAAAAAGTTATACGGGCAGAATTTTGCACTCACAAATGACCTAATGTGTGCGTGCAGATGTACAAGGCACGAGCTCTGCATCCCTTCCCCACGGCTGGTCCATTCTGGTGGGGAGAGAGATCTGGCACTTGCTGAGGGTTTGGGGTTTTTTTATTTTCTGGCTGCTTTAGAGCCTCAAAACCAGGATCAGGACAATCATAGCACTGCAGTTCATTCTTCAAGCATTCTATAGAATTAAATTGCCACGTATGCGTATAAAAGTACATTGATACGACTACGGAAACTATACTGTAGTGAAAACAGAAGCAGCTGCCATTTTTAGACTTTTTACATGAGGGAGATTGTGGCACTAAAGAAAAAGGCTTTATAGAGGCAATTTGAAAAAAAAAAAAAATATTGAAATCACATATGATAAGAGGTCCCTCAGATCTCACTACTTTAATGACCCCTGGATCAGAGCCAGAGGAAGTCATTGCAAGAAGGGGAGTACTTCGCCTCTTGTTGAATGACTCGTTTGGGATACATTCTTATTTTGTTAACAAAATGAACCCAAGCACCAGAGACAGATCCAGGTCTGAATTTAATCTTTCTCAAAGAATACGCATTTTGTGATCCAAAGTTTTTATTGTCAAACCTGTTAACCCACCCTCTTCTCCCCCTTGCTAAATAAAAAGAAAAGCTTGTCCAATTTGAAAAATGTCTAGCTCAGAAGGCCTTTGCATACGGACTGGCTGCCCTGGGAGGTATCTGCAGATCACTTAGCACTTCTGTGTACTTCTAGTCATCAGTCCAACACAGCTACAGATTTTCCATAAAGTGTGTTTTATTTGCCGTTTTTGTTAAACCCAGAGTGCGGTCGTCATATAGATTTTCCAGAGTTTTGCCTTACAGACTTTTTCCTTTGAATATATGCCACAGCCCTTTGAGCGGATTCTGTGATTAAAAGGCAAAGATCGGGCACAAGTCTTTATGTATAGATCTCTGGGCTGCAAGTCCTTGTTGTGACAATTGGTCTGTACTGAAATGACGATAGAGGTTATGCCTAACAGCGGGAAATGCCTTTCAGCCCGGGCAGCTGGGAATCTCCCAGGCTTTGTTTGTAAGAGGCTCGTTCCTTCACGGTCTCTGTCTGTAGAAAAGCTCATGACTAAGCATATAGTTTGAAATAAGCCAGGAATAGGAATTTATAGGCTGTGCAAACCAAGAAAAACAATAGGCATTTATTGATTTCTCTTCGTTAGCAATAACGGACTTTTTTTAACCATTTGTGGCTCTGGTAGATCCCTGTTGTAGGGCTAAAGTTACCAGTCTGCCAGGAATAGGGGCCAGGACAAGCTGACTTTCTAAACAGAAGAGGGAGGGCTTGGTTTGCTGTTGGGATGCACCCATTTCGCAGGACTGAAATGGCAGAGAAATCCAGCCTGTGCCTTCCCAGCCCCTCTCACAAATGTTTGCTCTAGTGTGAACCTTTGTTGCAGGGGAAGGAGATCGTGGGATCAAACTGACGCTGTGCCGCTTCCTCTCTTGCATTTTGTGCTGCCTGTATCTCTTGTAGCAGGTTGGACTGCTCTGGTTCAGCACGGGGGAAAGGAGCCAGCCTATGTTCAGCTTAGGGCTTAATGAAAGATAGGCCCAGGGGTTTCGGCAGGTTCAGGGCAGCCAAGCTTCTTCATAACCAGTGCTGACCGGGATTGCTGCTTCACTGAAGAACACTGAGCATTGACTCATTTGTTTTATAGATGCAAAATATGTGAGCGCATGTGGGGCAACCAGCGTGACAGAAATGAATCGGGTTGGTTAACGCAAGCGGTGAAAAACAATGTCATGAAATATTTTAGGGGCAAGGGAAAATGAGGGTGGAGGTGTTGTTTTAGGAGACTTTTTAAATAGGGACAATTGATCCAATACAAGCACTTCTTTTATTTTACCAAGCTGTTACCTGAACTAATTGATAGTTTCGCAGTTGAAAGGGGAACGCCAGATGGACTTCTTAGTCTGGATTTGTCTGTGTAGCAGATGGCAGCTGCAGGCTGGGACGGCGAGTGAGGGAGAAGGCTGCCCTCTGCCGCGCAGCTTCCCGCGCCGGGCTGCAAACCTGCTCAGAAAAAAGAAAAAAACCTTCTGAGCAGGAGCTATATTTCAAAGGGAGAAATAGAAAAGAAAGATGAATGAAAGACGTTGTGGATTTTGAATGAAAAGCCAACGGATGAATTTTTCCATCTGAAATGAATCTTGCCTCTCTCAACTGTCTTAATTGTGAATTGGTGGAGGTTATTTCTTTCTGGAGTGAATGGGAAAAAAAAAAAGGAGAGGAAAAAAAAAAAATAGCATTTTCCCTTTTTTGTTTATTTCCCGATTCTTCCGTCCTGTATAGCATGAAAAACAATAGCAAGATCAAGATGCTTGTTTGCTCTGAATGTATACAGTTATTTCAGATGTCAAATATCTAAATGTTTTGTATGTGTACGTAATACCATCCTTACTTCTTGTTTCATGTTAGGAACCTGAAATGACTGTACCATTTTATAATTAGAAATGTAAAGAGGGGACAGTGGGTGAGAGGGTCTGTTATTTTTATAGCAAGATATTCCTTGTATTTAGTGAACATTTAAAATGGTTTTGTACATGTCAAAATATACATTCCATCCATTTCCAGAAGAGAATTATTTTTATTTAGAGTAGTTTATAAGCAAACCAAAAAAAATGTGGCGTCCCATTTGTACGTAGTTCATGAACAGAGCAGAAGTATCCTGGTTTCCAGTGATGGCTCCAAAGCTTTTTCCAGCCGTGTCTCTTCTCACTCGCTGCAGAGCCATACCAGTAAATGCCAATGTTAAAAAGGGAAGAAAAATCCCGAACGAAATAAATACCATATGGATCAGTGCACAGCTCACCGAAATAACTTCCAGTCCGGAGACAATGGTCTGTCCTAGTGACATTCTCCAAGGCAGTCAGTCCTGCTCTGGACAGCAGGAGTGGATTTACGGGGAGGCCTTCGGCCCTGCCTCTCCCCCGGCCCCTGCCCAGCAGGGCTGCCAGCCCTAGCAAGCTGGGGGGTGACAGGGTTGTCACACTCACGCACTGCGCCTCTGGTTGCGCTGCGGCTCCCTCAGAATGGGAGCCTGTTTTTGACTGAAGTTGTTTTGCTGGTAAGGCAGTCGGTTTCTGCAGGCTGACCACGTTGTGTTTCTTTTGACAGTGGAAATGACCCTTCATCTCCACGTTAAAAAAAAAAAAACAGTTCCTTTCTCCGAACAGCTGCGCTTTGGTTTGTGAAACACCTAGCGAAAGACCATGGCAAAATCACACAGTGGCATTTGCATAGGCGGTTCTTTTTCTTGTAGTTAGCTCCCCCCCCCGCTACCTGTGACTTGCTGCCAAAACAGTGCAGTAGCGGTTTGTGAAGCAAGCCTTTTTTTCTAGCATTACTTTCTGTACAGTATTGCAAATATACTTTAACTCTTTGCTGATATTTTATAACATATACATCTTCCCCTCCAATGCACTTTATCTCTCTTGAAAAATGTGGGAGTCGGAGAACTACCGTCTTAAAGGGATTTGCCTGAAATCATAAGGCGCTCACTTTTTATTTTTTTCCTTCTTGCTTTGTTATATACTGTAAATGCTAGAGAGCACGGACAGTGACTCAGCTGGGGGAAGTACCGAAATGTTGAGGCTAATATTTGGAAGCATTATTCAGTAGTACAACACGGCTATTTTTGTTATATAGAAGATTATAATGTAAATATGTGAGACTGTGTTATTATGTACTAGTAAAATATTGCAACTCTCAAAGTTAAGATGGTGAATTCCAAGGAATTTTATTGCAAGTTTTTTAATAAAATGAATCTGATTACTGTGTCGTACACATTTTCTAACAGACTGTGTAAAACTGGCATTTCCTGATGTGTGAAACCTGCTGATTGTTTCTTCCAGAACTCAGCCACTGCAGACTTCGGTATTCACCGGAGGCAGAAGTCATAGCGGGAAGGGACCCAAGTGGCAGCCTGGCCTCCGTGCCACCACTCCAGCCCCAGTCACTGCTCTGGTCCCCCCTATCCTTCGGCTTCTTTTGATCAGAAAGCAGCGGCTGTGTGGGAGGTAAATGCCTCCACCTCCCCGAGGGAGAGCTGCAGCCTCACCCCAGATGCTGGGCATGATGTGTTAAAATAGCTTTAAAAGGTGACGGCTCTGCCCTGCCTCAGTAGGAATTGCACCGCCGTTGTGAGGGGTCGTCCAGCTGCTCTTCCCTCACCCCATCGGCCGCTGGTCTGCGTCCCTGGGAGCGGGGGGCCGCAGGAGAGCCTCAGGGGTTGTCATGCCATCCAGCAGAGGTGTGCTGCTTACGAGAGGTTCGAGGCACAGTAAAAATCCTGCCTCAAAGAAATATGAGAGACTTAAAGTTTTCCAGTAGATGCAAAAGGTGGCAGACAGAAATCCCTGAAGGAGTCAAATCCCGGCTCGAGCCGCAGCCCCGCCGCAGGGGCACAGCCTGCCCCCATCCTGGCCCACATTTTGTGCTTGCTGGCCGGTGCCGCCAGCGCGGATGTCTCTCTCCCAGCTGCAGTGGTGTGTTCAAGGGATCAGTGTGCCAAATCGGTGGGGGCTCTAACTCAAATTTCACCCAGGAACGAGGAAGGCAGCAGCCATGGGCTAGATCATACCCAGCTCCCCCAGACCCCCATGCCTCCTTGCTCCCATACGCCCACCTTCCCGCTGGGCTTTGTTCTTGCTGTTCATGACAGAGGGGCAGCAAGCTGGCTCAGAACAGGAAAACCGTGTGTGATTTAACGTGGCTTTATCAGCAACACCAGGAATTATTTTTCCCCTCCCAACCCGTGTCAGCAAGTTGGTGGCACAGCCCAGAGCTCCCCATCCCACCAGCCCTGCTCCAAGGGCAGAAGGCCCCTGCACCGAAACAAACCCTGGGCTGCCTTCAGAGGGAGATTTTAGGTATTGCTAGCCAAGGAATCTGGTCTCACTCTTCCCCACACATCTCCCTCCCTGCCCACTGCTTTGTTCTCTGCCTTCATTTAATAAGTGGCCAGGGGAGCGAGCGAGCGGGGACGGTTTTCCTTGGCCCGCAGCTGTGCGCAGTTGCTATGTGATCTGCACACACAACACAGCTGCCACCGGTGCTGCAGATCTGGCGGGAGGCAGCGCGCTCGAGTAGCGCAGCAGAAGTAATGCAGCGTGGAGCTGCTGGGAATGGCATCAGGGCTATAAATAACAAGGGGCGTAAGGCAATTAATTCCAGGATGCAAGCACATACTTAGGGCTTGGGTTACATCACTCTCTACTGTATATGGGATTCTTATCTGGTCAAAATACACAAATAAAGTTGGGTTGCTCTACGCAGTTTGGTTTTTTTTTTTCTCCAGAAGGAATAAGGCAAATTGTATTCATTCCTATGATTCAAGGAGGTGACCCTCATACCTGCCACAGTCAATGGAGGTGACTTGGGGTTCAAAGGGTGTTTATCCAGATTTGCACTGTGCAATGATTTGGACGACCCGGGGTCCCTTCTGTCCCGTGATCCCCAACTGTGCTAGGAAAGAAAGCAAGCTTTGTGCTGCAGGTTTGAGGGTGCCCGAAGGGGAGCCACAATTGTCTGTGCTGGGTCTTGGGGAGCCACTCGGGAAAAACCACTCTGAGAAGGCAGTTCTGTAACACGGGGGAGATTAGGTCTGGGGGTATCCCAGAGGAAATAAGAGGACTTCACAGCACAAAACAAATCTAATGGGTTGGTGTATTTATCATACATAAGTTGTAGGAAATCAGTTCTCAGTAATTGAGGGTGTAATTTTGCAACACGCTTATTCCTCAGCCTTTGATCCCCGTGCGAACAAGCTGCCGGCAAGCCCTGGCAGCGGCGGAAGCGGGCAAAGTGTCACCACCCTCATGTGCCTGGGCCACCCTCTGCTGCAGGCCATCACATTGCTCCTCTGGACATCCTCCTGGACATCTGCATCTCAGCAGCTCGGCTTTATAGTCCATCCTCTCACCTGAGATCAAAGACAGGCTTGCACAGGGAGGCCGGCAGTGACTCGTGGTGGCTGAAGCCCAGGCAGATGTCCCTCCTCCTGCTCCAGCTAGGAAGCATGGTAGCTCCTGGCAGAGGAACAGAGCAGCCATCTGGGAGCGGTAACGCCATAGATGCGTTGGCAGAGCCCATCATAGCTCAGATGAAGTTGTTCCTCTGTCCCTGCTTGGGGCAGCTGCGCTGGCTCAGACCAGCAGCCTGCCCAGCCCACGTCTGACTCAACCGAGGCCAGGAGCAGACACCCACAAAGGAGTAACACCGGGGCAGTCGCCCCCCTCCACGCCACTCCTGGTTTTGCAGAGGTCTAGTATATCCCTGTGGTGCCAACACTTCCCAGCTGCAGGGGCCGAGCTTGCTCAGTCGTGTTTTGTGGGACACTGCTCTGTGCCTCGGCACGTCCTCGCTGCCTTTCTCCAGACCCCTCTGCGCTTTCCTTAACTGCATGGCGGGGGGGGTCCTGGCCAGAGCACGACGCCAGGAAGGAAGGGTGGAGACAAGCCCCGTGACGGGGACACAGCCAGGGTATCACCCAGCGCCGTGATGGGAAACGCTCCCGGCTCCCACGGGTTTTGGATGTTACCTGCGCGCACCAACCCAGAGTGCAAGCGGTGCACCCCAGCCAGGTGCCCTGGGGCTTCCCCAAAGGCCGGGGTGCCCCGGGGCTGCCCGGGTGTTATGATGGTGGTGATATTTGGTGTTTTCTGCCACGCCTCAGCTTCTGGAGGCAAAGGAGTGAGGGTTAGAGGGGAGAGAGGGCGAGGTAGGGCTGCAGCCTAGAAGGCTGAGAAGAAAGTGTTTCAAAAAATGAGTGACAAGGTGCGTTTATCACTCCCGGGTGAGGAGCAGCGGGGCAGAGGCAGCTGCCTGCATCCCGCGCCTTCCCCTCACCCTGTCTTTCCAGCAGGCCGGCCCCTCCCGCGGCCCCCCCGCGCGCCGCTGGGCTGGGGGGGGGCGGCGGGGGGTGGCGCCCCCCGGCCAGCGGGTTTGTCTTTATTTATTGAGTTAAATTAGTGAATATTTATTGTGTTAAATAAGTGAAAGGCACCACTGGGGTGTTTTTTCCTGCTCTTCCTTGAGCGTTCCCCCTTGCGCACCGCCCAGGGTCCCCGCCGTCTCCCCCAGCCGATGAAGCAGACAGAGCCTTGTCAGGCTTCCCCTCGTGGCCATCGGATCGGTGGGGAAAAGCTCTCTGTCCTTCTCAGCAGGCGTGAAGAAGCACAGGGGGTCCCCCCCAAAAGAGTCCCTCCAGGTTTGGGGCGTGAGTCCGCACGTGCTGGAACATCACAGCACCTTGTGGGACGGTGACCAAGGGCGGGAGGTCACTTCACTAAAGGGCTGCAATTAGCCCTTGACAGCCACTTGGAGAGGTCCCGTGGTCACCGGGGGTGTATTTGCAGGAAAGCCCAGGAAAGCAGTAAGTGCAACTGGGTTTGTGCTTGCTGGCACGTCCGTCTGGCCCAGTAGTCAGCAGATTTGGTGGAGGGGAGCAGGACTGCTACCCTGGTTCATAGACGAAGCAAAACCCAGCAAGGACACCTGCCGACAGTGGCTTTAGCAGCAGGTGAGCAGCAGGACAGGGACAGGAGCGGGGCTGGAGACCAGCGCTGCAGCCCCCACCACAGCCCCACTGCCTGGGTGAAGGAGATGGCACATTTTAGCTACACTTTAGCTAAAGGAGTGTTTTTAGAGCAAATCAGTTGAATTTCAGTTTGTGCACGCACTTACACCATTTAAAAGCGGATTATTTTGGCATGGCTTTGGCTACGGATCAGTCTGTGGGGGAACAGACCCAGGCATGAATTGCCAGAGTCACCCTGCATGGGGAATTGCACTCGAACGGGAGTGGGACTTTGTGGCGGGGAAATCCCAAATTGGAGCATGATGCCCACTGTAGGGTGCTGAATCTCACGTCCTATTCCAGCCCAACCATGAGAAACTCCCATTTGTACACAGACACCTTTAACTGGACACAATTCAACCGAAATCCAGATCTGCTTCAGTACTCTTCATCACCTCAGCCAACATCCTCACCTATCCAGGCTGAGTTTCACGCCCGCGAGGTACAACACAGGCTGGCGGTACAGCTTCAAGGTGTGAATTACTTCATCCCCCCCAACCCCGGTGTGCATTCACCTGCAGAGAGATGCTTGGCAGCAGCTCTCTTCTCCCAGCAGCGCTGCCTGGGAGCAGGGGAGGTTGTTCACACCCAGGCAGCTCCAGAGGAGCTTTGGGGAGGCAGGAGGTGAGTTTTGCTTTCAGCCTGTCTTGGGTGTGAGACTCAGAAGAGCGGATGAGGAGAATCGCACAAAGGTGTGTTACTTACAGTGCTGTTTTGATGAGGGTGGTGTTTTTAAAATAATTGTCCTAAAGGACAATAGAGAAGGGCATTTTCTTACGGAAAATTGACCCTGACTGACTTTCAGCTGTGAAGCTGCTCTGAAAAGGATCGTTAGTGCCGAGGAAAAAACTTCTTTATTTGCTTATGCTCAGTGAAGTCCTAAATGCAAGCAGCTGCCAAAATTCCCCAGATGCATGTGATGACTCGTTAGCAATGCCCAGCCTAGGTCATTCCTGCTGAGCCAGGTGTGCAGGAGGGGGGATGCCCCGCAGGCTGGGAAGGCAATTGCAGTACCTGTGGGGGCTGGTGGTATAAAGCAAACCCACTGAGCCTGTGACAGTGCTGCTTGTCTGTTTTTCTTTTGCTTGCTGTGGCTTAGGGGCTTTCTTTGCCTTCTTTTTGGTGGAAGAAAAGGGCCCAGAGCAACGCTGGGGAGTTGTTCTTCGGGGTGTGAAGAAAGGACTTGCCTGTGCTTTGACCAGT